TTCTCACTCTCGCACGCAGCAGGAAATGGTGTGTGAGACAACTCGATGTGAACAATGCTTTCTTAAACGGAGATTTGCAAGAGGAAGTGTTCATGGAACAGCCCGCAGGTTTTGTTGATCAACAAAATCCAACATTAGTGTGCAAACTCCACAAGTCTCTCTATGGCTTGAAACAAGCTCCAAGAGCTTGGTTTGAAAAGCTTCATCATGCGTTGCTGCAACTTGGTTTTCACTCAGCTAAATCAGATCAATCTCTCTTCATTCAGGTCACCACCAAGTGGACTATATACATCCTTGTTTATGTGGATGATATACTCATAACAGGAAGTGATGAGTCAGCTATTCAGGAACTGTCTACAAAGCTTAACACTGCTTTTGCACTCAAAGATTTAGGAGAGATTGATTACTATCTTGGCATACAAGTTACGAAGACAACTCAAGGTTTGTTTCTTTCTCAACGCAAATATGTAACAGACTTACTATGTAGAACCAAGATGCAGTTTGCAAAAGGTACTTCAGCGCCTATGACCACAGGACAAAAACTCACATCTTTTGGCAGTGATCCAGTGAGTGATGTCCAACTGTACAGAAGTGTGGTGGGTGCATTGCAGTATGTGACAATCACCAGGCCAGAAATCTCTTACAGCGTTAACAAGGTTTGTCAATTCATGCAAACACCTCTGGAAGCACATTGGAAGGCAGTAAAGAGAATTCTGAGGTATTTAGTCAGTACGATAGATCATGGACTTCATTTGAAAGAATGTCACACGGAAAAACTGGATTTAGTTGGTTTTTGTGATGCAGATTGGGCATCAGACATTGATGACCGCAGATCAACATCAGGGTTTTGTGTCTTTCTTGGTTCTAATTTGGTGTCTTGGCAATCCAAGAAACAACATACTGTGTCAAGATCATCTACAGAGGCAGAGTATAGAAGTTTAGCCAGTGTGGTAGCTGAAATATCCTGGCTTCAGTCTCTTTTAACCGAGTTGCATTTTCAGACAGTAACAACACCAATCATCTGGTGTGATAATCTTAGCACAGTGCATCTAGCAGTAAATCCAGTGCTGCATGCCAGAACCAAGCACATAGAACTGGACTTATACTTTGTTCGAGAAAAAGTCATGAGGAAGCAAATAGAAGTCCGGCATGTACCTGCTATTGATCAACTAGCTGATGTGTTCACCAAAGCCATTTCAAGTTCTGCCTTTGGTCTCATTCGTGGCAAACTTAAAGTAGAAGATTTAGCTACTTTAAGTTTGAGGGGGACTGTTAAGAAGTCTTAGTTATGAAAGATTTAGTTTACACGTGTAATAACTTCATTGGATAGTCTGTTAGAGGTTATCCTCTAATTTATGTATAAATAAACAATTGTAACAGATTTGAGGTTAATGAGAATTAGTTCTTCTCTTTCATCAGTTTCTCTTTCTCTCTCTAGAAACGGTTGAGCTTGTTTCTTTATACCGACTCACAACCGATCCTCTGCACTGCGGCGATCTTAGGTACAACCTCTCTTGCGAAAACAACACCACCGTTTTGCACTTTTATTCCCGCGAAGATTCCCAGAGATTTAATTCTGAACCTCCGAAGAGATACATCGTACAAGCAATCAATTACGACAACTACACGATTCGAGTCGCGGATCCCGGTTTTGTCGGGGAAAACTACAATTGCTCCTCCATCCCTCGCAACACTCTGTCCACATCAAGCAAGTTCTTTCTCGACTGGAATCCTTATCTTTACGAACCGGAAATCAGGTACGGATTTCTGAAACAAGCATCCTTGTCGGGATATCCCAAGGCGACTTGCAAGAGCTCTCGAAAGATCTCGCAGACCATAATATTCTTCACCTGTGGAAAGCCAGTTGATTCTTCTAATTACATAGAAAGTCCTTGCGTATTCAACGGTAATTGTTCCGGTTCTACTTTGTCCGAAGGCAAAAAGTACTCTTACTATTATGTAATGGATGGTGATGGCTTGATCAGTACTTTATCCGATCTGGAGGAATCGTGTTGTTTAGAGCGAATGTCTCTCATAAAGAAAGGAGAGATGAAGTACACTAATGCCGAAAATATCCATAACGATTTAGTTCGCGGATTTGAGCTTTCATGGTTGCAGAGTTTCGACAAAATCGGAGATCGTCTTTGCTATGTCCATGATAAGGACCCCAAGAAGGTTTCTTGTTTATCTGGCTGCTCCTTCATAAACTACAGAGTATCATTTGGGTGTAGTAAGTAAAATACATACCAGATTGTACTCATTCTTTTTATTTATTTACTTATTTATTTATTTTCATGAGTACTCAAAGTTCATTACAATGGAATGTGTTAAAAATAAAAATAATTTAGTCATTTGGATTTTGATGCAGGCCCTTTCCATACGCTTCTTGCCTACCTTCAACGTAAGATTTCTGTTGCATCAGTTTTGCTCCTCTATGAAATTCGTTTCTGGAATTAATAAAAGGCTTTTTTTTTTTTGCATTGATACCTCCTCAACTTTAAGAATTTGACAATTTGGTCTCTTAACCTTTTTTTTCTTGGCAATTCACTTCTTAAATTTTGAAATTTGTTACGATATTGATCAAATTAAAAATTACATTATTGATCAAATTGAAAACGAAATTAAAAATTTAGACGGTATCTTCCACGTGAGTGTCTAATAAAGATAATTCTGATCTTTTTGCATCGAATTAAACCTTTTTTTTACAAATCATGAATGAAAATTTTTTTAAAATTAGGGGACGCGTGATTTTTCTTCCAAAAAGAGTATCCATACAAAAAAGCCTTAATAAAATGTTTCGGGGTTAAATTCACAGAATAAGCAACTTCAATGCACTAGTTGAAATCGATTGCTTATCACATCATGAAATTTATACAATTTCTGTGTAATTTTATTTATGATAAACAGCCATTTTGGTTTATTTTAATTTATATGGGTGCTTTTTTTTATTTCTTGCAGTTTACCTTTACATCAGGGGAGGATACAAATTCATTGGTAAGACCATATACACAGAAATATATTCCTTACATATTGAACGAGCTTAATTTAGGGGTTTCTAAGTAAATGGGCCTCCTTCAAATAACTAACAATGTTTTGCTACATTAGGAAAATTTCCTATTTTAGAATTGGTAGTCAATGATGTCCTGATTTATGGTTAATCACTTATATAAAATTAGTTAGTGAATAACTAATTTCAATCAATAAGTTATCAGTTTATGATTGATAAACCATAGGTAAATCAGGGATATAACGGTTAATCATCGATAAATTATTGGTTCTTCACTGATCACCATTAATTAAAAAGGGGTGGTCAAAACTGGTTATCCACATAATTTTTCCTCAAAGTTACTTGGAACATAATCTTTTCCTGCAGTGGCAGCGCTAGCACCAAGAACAATAGCGGGGATTATATTTCTGATTGGCCTTTTGATTTACAAATGGAAAAGGCGGCATTTTTCTATGTACGAAGACATTGAAAACTTCCTTCGAAGTCAGAATAACCTAGCGCCTATAAGATACTCGTACTCGGACATAAAGAAGATGACTAAGGGCTTCAAGGAAAAATTAGGCGAGGGAGGCTTTGGCTCCGTTTATAAAGGAAAACTCCGCAGTGGTCATTTTGTAGCAATTAAGATGTTGGATAAATCTAAAGGGACCAACTGGCAAGATTTTATAAATGAAGTTGTTACCATCGGAAGGATTCACCACGTCAACGTTGTGCAACTAACTGGTTTCTGCGTCGAGAAATCAATACGCGGTCTTGTTTTTGACTTCATGCCTAACGGATCTCTTGATAAGTATATTTTTTCTAGAGAAGGAATTAGCTCATTGAGTTGTGAGAAAATATTTGAGATCTCACTTGGAGTCGCACGCGGCATCGAATATCTTCATCGGGGATGTGACATGCAAATTTTGCATTTCGACATTAAACCACACAACATTCTTCTTGATGAGAATTTTTTTCCAAAGGTCTCTGATTTTGGACTAGCAAGATTATGCCCTCTGGATCATAGTATAGTGTCTTTGACTGCGGCAAGAGGCACCATTGGATACATTGCTCCAGAGCTGTTTTACAAAAACATTGGAGGAGTCTCCTACAAAGCCGATGTCTATAGTTTCGGAATGTTGCTGATGGAAATGGCAAATAGAAGGAAAAATGGGAATGTGGGGACAGAGGAATCAACTGCGACTTATTTTCCTCTTTGGATATATGACCAATTCATCCAGGGAAAGGACATAGAAATACAAGATGCCACTGAGGAGGAACAGAAGACGATAAAGAAAATGATGATAGTAGCATTGTGGTGCATACAGATGAAGCCTTGTGATCGCCCGTCAATGAACAAAGTCATAGAGATGCTCGAAGACGAAATTGAAAACCTACAAATGCCTCCAAAGCCATGCCTATATCCGGATGAAAGAAACGTACAAGGCTCTTTGGAGACACTAGATACAACATGGTCATCAGTTCCATCAGATGAAAACTCTGTGGAAATTAGTTTAATTCAAAACTCATACTAAGATAAATTTGATAGTCATTTGCAGGCCGAGTATGTGGAGCCATTAATGATCTACTCTTTGATAAATTTTTCATATCTTTTCTAATCTTGTTACTTGATCAAACATATCAAATTTTTATCATGCCATATCAAGTGCTTTTGTACCTTTTGAACCTTCAGTTTTGAAATTGTTTCAAATCCTAAATGAAGAAAAATGTTTATATCATCTCTAGAACAGGGTAAATTAGGGACCAAAATGCAGAGCATGCTAACCAGTAGACATCAAAAGACATGTTCATTAGCACTAATTAATTTACCATTAGTAAAACTTTCCCCAGTTAGTTTTATGCCATATCCTTTGCTGTCATTAAAATCAAAATTTGATATAGTTACTTTTTAAATTGTTACAAGCGTTACAAAAAAAAAAAAACTTCTCACATATATATGAGAACAGAGGAAAAGACGGTTGAATTCATCGTGGAGCAGAAAAGAGAGTACTTACTCGTATAACCTAAATTTTTTTTTCGCTTTTGAATTAATTAATAGCAAGAGGAATCAAAAGGGATTCTTAAGTTACCAAGCCAATAAAAATTAATTTAGTCCCTATCAATGAGGGAAAAACCATTTATAATGTTTGCTTTTAGAATCGATCCCATATTGAAACTTTTAAGGATAGCACTCACTTAATACTCTAAGATACAAAAATCAAATTAAGAATTAATACAGAAATTAACACTTTCTTAAATATGGCTCTAATGTTGCTGTAACCAATGCTCTCTAACCTGGATTTCATGATATATATAGAATTTTTATGGAAGACATGAAACGATTTTATATATGAAAATTCCAATATTACGAGTAAATGACAAGCATAGACCAAGCAAACTAGATATACAGAGGACTAGAATTTTTTCTTCTTTTTTTTTTCCTGAAAATACAAAAAATTATAATTGCAGTGTGGGAATGTGTGAACAAAATCCCACATTGGCTAGACATGCAATTGAGAATGGGTCACCCTAAGGACCCAACATGCAGTACTAATATATAGGGGTCTTAATGACTGATCTCTTGTGAACTCACAAACTGATCGTTATCTTGGCACGCAATATCTGAGACCAAACCAGGCTCTTCCAAGTCCTCTTCTGATAATGTTGATATTGAACATGATGTCTCCCCAGCAACCTCAACGTTGTGCTTAACTTGTACTTGCTCTTGCAGATATACGTAAGGCTTTGGAGGCATTTGTAGGGAGTCAAGTTCATCTTCGAGCAATTTCTATGACTTTGTTCATCGGAGGGCGATGCCAAGGCTTCATTCGTATACACCACAATGCTATTATGATCGTCATCTTTACAGTTTTCAATTCCTCCTCCGTGGCATCTTCTATTTCCATGTCCTTTACTAATTTGGTCATATATGGTAAGGCTTTGCAGGCATTTTGTGGGGAGTCGAGTTCATCCTCGAGCATTTCTATGACTTTGTTCATCGAAGGGCGATCACAAGGCTTCAATTGTATACACCACAAATATTGCAGTACCAAATCCGGCAAAACACCAAATCCACTCCTTTCCAATTAAAGCTGAGAGGACCAATTTAATCCTTTCCAAAATTGAAGTCAAACAACTTTTTCTCTTCCTCATAACTCGATCCTCAAATCTGCACCATGATCACGTAGTACCTGTTTTTGAATTTAAAAACACGTTGCCAAAACATGCCAACTAGACAAAATACCTAACAGAAATGTTGTTCTCGCAGGAGAGCTCATACCTTGAATCACCGCCGTGTTTAGGATCGGTTGTAAGTCGAAAAGGGTAACTAATATTGTGGAGATGGCCGCAGAATGAAGGGGGACAGTGATGCTTAGTCTGTGCATCGATTGTTTCATAGAAATTGACCATCAATGCAAAGTGGGCTATGATCAATCGGGTTAAACATGTTAGTTTACCATTCCATCCCAAAAGCTTAAGCTGTTAGGAGGTGGGCCAACAATAGTTTTT